TGGGTGTGAGTGAGCTGTTTCTGAGAACTTCTTCTGTGCTGTTACTCACCAGGGTGCAACTTTGTTGTAAGTTGCCAGCACCCGATTGACCTCTCTGGCACTGATTCTATTTATCAGTACCATCTTACATGTCATGGGCTCCTTGAACGACCTTCGGGGGATTGGTTTTGTGATGAGGAATGTCGAAAGAACGCCAGACTTTGGGGCACAGCAGGAAGCGGCGGAGGCCAGAATAATCACGTGTCTTTCCTTATTTGGAAGGTGCTAGAGGGGGGGAGGTCTCCCAGAGGGCTTAAACATGTAACATAACATAGTGTCGTGTACTTTTACTTTCGGTACCCCTTGGGGCGGGCGCACCGTTTGGGGGGATCTGCACGCGACCCTCAGTAAGAAACTTGGCGAAGTGGGGGGAGCGAACGTCAAAACATTGTCGCTCGGCAAAGAGGCGAATAGCTGGGCAATAACTTTTACGAGGAACGGAACGCACTGCTTAGCGTGGAATAACGTTCCAGCCGGCCTGGCCGAACTTCTCAGGTCAAGAAGCGATGCTGTGGTTTGTTTTTCAATTCTTTAGAAGGGATGGCATGGGTTTCAACTCGCTGACTTTCATACCGTGACAGGACATTGTTTTGAGCCCTTGGAACCACGAACACTACTTCGTTCTCTTTCGCGATGGAAGTTATCGGTACAATTTGCCAAAGGCTTGGCTCAACGCCGAGAATAAAATGTTATGAGGTACTTGACATTTCAACTTGAACGCGCGATGCTTACTTGCTCTGTCAAATGTTTTTTAGTATATATCTAGGTCATTAATTCATGTCAAGGCTTTTCAGTTCTTCGTTATCCGGTCTAATAGAAACAATCGTTCCTCTCATCATGATCACGAAAGGAATTAATGGTGTAAGGCTGTAGTACGACATACAGATCCCTCCCTCTCGACTGGCGTTCTCTCTCCCATTCCTGTCCTGTTTTTTTTTGCCTCCTTTTTCCTTTCTTTTTTGAAGCTTTGCAATGGCTGCGGATTGCGTTCGGTGCAGAGTAACCACATTCTACGGTCCCGCAAACCTTACGTCGCTAAGGGTCAGCGGGATGTAGCAAGTTTGAAAGCTGCCATTTAAGCTTTTTTTCATTATATGCGATTTACGTTCAAACGCAAATCTATTCAGCACATATACTGTACCGCGTCGTCAATCGCAACATCGTCTCCCAGACTCACCTGCGCTCTCGTCTTT